TAACACTACGTAAGTAACGTTTGAACCTTTCCAAGCGATCATCCATCAACTTGGCAACTACCTTACGTGTCACCAAGGTACTACCAACTGGTTGAACAGTTCGATTGATTCCTGCTACCCTGTCTAAAGTTTCAGGTTTCTATTTCCTGCTACCATCGACAGCTTCAAACTCCATGGCTTATTAAATAGCATTTTCTAGTGTTTGTGGATGGGCAATTGTGACATGTTTCCTCATGTCAAAGCTATGCAGGCCAGTTAAGAACTGATCAATTAAATGTACCTCTAGTGCTGAATAAGTGCTGGTAGGGTAAGCTAAATTTGCTAATCTACGGAGCTGATACCTATAATCCGAAACGGTTTCGGCACGACCTTGTCGACGATTTCGGAATTCACTTCTATAGGCTACATTACGTTCTTCTGGATTGATGTAAGAATATTTCCTGGTGACATTTCAACTTTCAGACAGGATACATGGCGCCACACACAATGTAGGAACATTTCCTGGTGACATTTCAACTTACAGACAGGATACATGGCGCCACACACAATGTAGGAACATTTCCTGGTGACATTTCAACTCACAGACAGGATACATGGCGCCACACACAATGTAGGAACATTCCCTGGTAACTTGTCAACTTACAGACAGGATACAAGGTTTCGAGGTATTTCGTGATCTGTCTGTTTTCCTCCATTGTTGAGCAAGATGTCCGTGCAGATGTTAGCATTTCTCTTTTGCATCTTTCCATTTTCCATTCCGTGTGATGACCTGGTAACACGAGCTGCCCAACTACACAACATTCTTCTGACAAGTCACCACTCCTGTATATGAGGAATGTGAACCCACGAATGAATTAAAATTCCAAAATTATATCGGCGTAATGATCTAAAGGCGAGATCGTTTACGTCACTTCTAAAAAAATGTTTGTTTGGGATGGTTTCATGTAGTCAACAAGTCTTTGTATCACTTTACAATCTCTCTCGTCACATCGCCCCTTTATCCCATCCCTGACAAAACTACCCAACTTACGAGCCGTGCACCACACACCATGGTGGATCTGATACAGCCAAGGGAGTTTATGATGAGAAACGAAGAACTCAAGGACCACTCCAATGACAATACAGTACTTAAGGGTAATATTTCCGTCATTATGTATCCAGATACGTTAAATACATTAAGATATTTCCATGAACCTTGCAATGCTAATGGTAAAAGTTTTTGGATTTGTATTCAAAATGTATTGATCGTGACAAAGTTCGTCAGTGTATAGATAGCTGGAATTATCGCGCATGGTCTGAACTTCTGCATGTGGGAAGTGATCAAATATCGTTTACTTTCACGTGTTAGTGTTCTATTTCCCGGTCTTCTGATGATTGTTCTTTTGTTTAACTCCGCACTCAGAAATATTACAGCTATATGACGGCGGTCTGTAAATAATCGAGTCTGGACCAGACAGTAGTGAATGATGTCTTGAGCATCGATCCACACAATTGGGATAGGATGACATGCATCACCCAAGTCAGCGAGCCTGACCACTCGTTCCCGTTTGTCGCCTCTTACGGCAATAATGGTTTACTGAAGACCTATTCTGACCCGGATGTTCACGGGGCCAGTCTTGTGATGTCGGAGCAGACTTCTGAATCTATGTTCTCCGTTGTTCAACACCACGCAAAGAAATATTTCAACTATATGACGGCACCATGTTAATATTTGCTTCGGGACCAGACAAGCCAGTGATTGATATTATTAACAACATTCCACGCCTGCGGGTGTGATAACACGCAAGTAACCAAGTCACCGAACAGGAACACCTATCAATCCAAGCATTCATGTTTTAATACTCTTCCTAACTTCTTTGAGAGGCATTTAGAAGTTGGAGTATTAAGTAAGGAAACGATATAAGGATAACGGTGTTAGAACCTACACTGAAACGTCGCTCCTAATTGTAATAGAGAAGTTGTTCGTCCATAGATCCTTTCTTACTCTCCCCATCTTGCATTTGCAGTGTTTCACCGACTGTTTTCACCCCTTTAACGTTATCATTATGTTTGTAATATTTTGGCAAAATCCAATTTCAAGTATATTCTTTCTTTTTTCCGACAATTTATGAAATGTAAAGACATTTCAGTCGGCTTTCCTCCAGGGCAATACACGATTTGTCGTCGGTTCGTTCACATCAATTTTTATATGATGCCAAATATTTGACAATTAATCCCCAACAAGTTGTTTGTCACATCTTGTTAAACTGCTTTGGAGAGAATGGACAATGGTATCTTCATCATCGTCTCTAGACCTGTTTGTTTCTGAGAACATGTTCTTCTAATGTTTCAAACTTCATTTTAGAAAAAGAAGTGATGATGGTAACTTGGTGGCAATGTTTTGGTTGACACGTATGAGCATAGACTTTATCAGAAACCCCTAAGGGAAATTAGACAGAGCTGTCTCTCCGGACATGATGATGATGATGATGATGATGATGATGATGAACATTTCATATTCAGTGTTCTGTATGCTTTTGTGATGAGGTGCTTGCAAACTGCACAAAAAACAACATAATTAAATGAACACACTGGTACTGTAAAATCAGTCTTTATTCATTCAGTGTAACTTAGGGATGTGACAACAAACGTCAAATAATTTGTCAATCGGTCACCAAGAGTATTGTTTACCGCCCATGACACACCCAAAGGGTATTTTGCATCAGTGAACTACACGAACAGGGAAGTGGTTAGAAGAGTTGGTTCGTTGGTTTGTTGTTTAACGCCGCACTCAGCAGTATTCCAGCTATATGACAGCGGTCTATAAATAATTGAGTCTGGACCAGACAATCCAGTGATTGATATCATGAGCGTCAATCTTAGCATTTGGGATCTATGACATGCATCAACCAAGTCAGCGATCCTGACCACACGATCCCGTTAGTCGCCTCTTAAGACAAGCATAGTCGCCTTTTACGGCAAGCATGGGTTGCTGAAGACCTATTCTACTCCGGATCTTCACGGGTCGGTTACAAGAGAAGCAGAGGAAACAAACTCACATATTAATTAAAAGTAACATGTGATCAAACAGGTTATATTGCAAAAACTAAACATAGTTACTATTTTAGGACAAGAAAATGCATTAAAAATTAAATTCATTTGATAAACGTCGCAAGGGATAATTTTTTTAGTGTAAAGCTGCAATTTTGGCAGACAAACAGATTTATTTAAGTCTAACATTAGGTACAGGTATATTATAAACAGGTTAAAACATTTACAAATGTAAGCAGCTAGAGACGAGTATATACCAAATAAAATAATACCTTTCTTTACAATAAAGTAAAACCATCTGTATAAAATATGCACGTAAAAAGATCACCAAGTATATAAGGCACCGATATACATTTCCATCAATAATATAATAATGCGCGACAGCGACACAACATATGCTAGAGAGTTTGGGCAACGTTGAAACACATGTTTCATTTGACGTAACAAAGACGTATTTCTGTTCATGTGTTTAAAAAATAAGCTAAATATTCAAGATTAGAAGATGGCATGTAGAAGGTTTGGTGAACGACGACAATGCTTGAATGAACACCCATATCTACGCTGTTCAAATAGTAACAATAAGCCTTTGTTATAAGAGACTGGAGCGTGTACGAGCCGGACGTTATATTTAGCTAAATATCTACCACTAAGCACATGCAAATCAAGTGCAAATAAGTACGTTTGTTTAAGAGCCTATCCGTTTGAATGTAACTGATGTCACACGTGAGGAGGCGTCTTAAGATCCTGACGCATATATAGATATCGTATCGGGGTTAAATGACATTGACATGTCTGATATTCAGTTGAAAGCAGTGCTAAGGTCACAGATCTGAGAACGTTAAAGAAACTCTGGTTGCGGGAAGGAGATGCATGGGTGACTGCAGTGGGCAACCTTGAGAGTTTCTAAGAACGAACCAAGTGGTAAAACCAGAAACCAAACCCTTTCCATAATCATAAACTAAACGTGACCAAACCCTTTCCATACTCATAAAATGAAAGTGACCAAACCCTTTCCATAATCATGAAATAAAAGTGACCAAACCCTTTCCATAATCATAAAATAAAAGTGACCAAACCCTTTCCATAATCATGAAATAAAAGTGACCAAACCCTTTCCATACTCATTAAGTAAAAGCGACCAAACCCTTTCCATAATCATAAAATAAAAGCGACCAAACCCTTTCCATAATCATGAAATAAAAGTGACCAAACCCTTTCCATGCTCATTAAGTAAAAGTGACCAAACCCTTTCCATAATCATGAAATAAAAGTGACCAAACCCTTTCCATAATCATGAAATAAAAGTGACCAAACCCTTTCCATAATCATGAAATAAAAGTGACCAAACCCTTTCCATAATTATGAAAAAAAAGTGACCGAACCCTTTCCATAGTCACAAGAAATTTCTGCTAAAAGCAGAATTCATTGTACATCTTCGACTATATCATAAGCAAAAGTGTTTATGAATCACTATCAAATAGTATCCTGTCCATCTTAACAAACACATGCAAAGGCATGTCCACTGAAAACACACGGGAACACATGGTACAAATCTTGTTCAGACTTGATTATTTACAGACCGTCGTCAAATAGCTGAATTATTGTTGATTGCGGCGTTATACAACAAAGAAAGAAAGAAACAAACAAACATGATACAAATCAGGGCCCTTACTACTCTGATAAATATAAAACGTCAACACCAGAGAATAACCAGTCCCGATTATCTGACGAAACAGACTCCACTGAGACTGAAAGTCAAAATAGTGGTGAACATACATGTGTATTGTAAATGGCTCACTACATACCAATCAATGCATGGTCGCAATATATCCCAGGATGCAAAGCTCACATAAGTTCAACACTACAGTAAACTACGGTTATAAAAAAACACGCTTATAACGAACTGACGGATATAACGAACCTACTTATTAAGTCCCGACTATTTGCTGTAGTTATGCTTTATATATGCTTATAACGAACTACGGTTATAACGAACTAAAATTAGTAGTCCCTATGAGTTCGTTATAACCGTAGTTTACTGTACATCATTTATCAACATAACCTAATTTCTTATATATACATCACACATCAGTGCATCACTCCGTACATCTCTACAGCTTGCATCACTTCACATGGTTTAATATCACAAAACCAAAGTGCTTACGCTACACTTGGAGGCACTTAGCAGATTGATGATAGTTTTTGTCCGTAATAACGCTGCAGGGGCGGTGGGGTAACATAGTGGTTTAAGCGTTCGCACGTTACGCTGAACAGCCGGGTTCTATTCCCATATAAGTACAACATGTGAAGCCTATTTCGGGCGTTCCTCGCCCCGATACTGCCCCGGTGTTGCTGACATTTTGCTAAAAACTCACTCACATTAACATTGCAGCATCGTTTTAGCAAATTTGGACCAAACACTCCAGTCTGTGGCAATCAAGAAAGTCAAGGTGCCTAACCACCTGATCCGCTTAGTCGCCTCTTACAGGAACATTTAACTCTAAATAGCTGCAGAACGTCAACTCACCATCTCATCAGCACCACCTGCACACATGGGTCACCCCAATCAAACCTCAACTGGTAGTTAATTTGATTTTATGAGTGTATCACTTACTGGAGGTTGTATATCCAGGCCAATACTGCTGAATTGGTCACGTAAAATCACAGTCTCTTTAGCACAGAGCTGTGTGTGGTTGAAGTGTTTGAAACAATCGTTCGTCATGTTGAAAACCCATTTCCCTCTGTCTGGGAATTGATCTGCGTTAGATCAATCACACTCAACGTCTCATCTGTTAAATTGATGAATTTTCTATGGCCCCCATCTTTATAACCAAGTGGCCCATAAAGAACTATTGTCTGAACTTTCCAACAATGTGTCTGTCTCAGGACAAAAGCACTTGATAGCTTCTTTCATAGAAGCAACTGATTGCAGCATTTAACCAGCGCATGTGTCCATATGGAGGAACGGTCTAAGTGCGGAGGATGAGTATTCGTGGTACATATCCTTCCTTTAGAAATACATGGGTTTTGTATCACTGACTTTTCTCGTCCTCGTCTCCCAAATGGATTTCCTTACCGTAACAAGGTGTTTTCAGTCACAGACTAAGCGTGACCTACCGTTATGATAGGTTATAGTATAAAATACCAAAAGCATCACACAATACGATAGCAGTCACACATGGTACCACAAATCGTGAAATATTCGCATTAATCATCCCACATTGTTGGTGAAGACTGCTTTCCAACTTCTCATCAAACTTTTCTGCTCTTTTAGTTTTTTTCTGTTGAACTTTGATCTCTTTGACAATGCTCCGATGTCTATTCGCATGAGCTAAGTCACACGCAGTTTTGTTGTCTTCATCTACCTTCTGAGTGGGAACGTTTTCCCTAAGAAAGAGTTTTACAATCTTTAAATGTCCTTCCTGGGCAGCAATATGAAGTGGTGTCCTCCCTTTCCTATCAGACAAACTAGGATCAGCTTTGTTTTTCAGAAGGGATTGTACTGTTTCTATGTGATCACCCTGAGTTGCTAAGTGCAATGCAGTTTCCGATTTCTCAGTCCTGAGGTTGATCTCACACATGTTCTGCAGAAGTCTTCCCAATACATATTCATAACCCCACATTGCTGCATAGTGAAGCGGTGCCATGCCGTGGATATCTTTAAGATCCACAGACATGCTCCTGATTATAGGCTTTCCATGTTTTCCAGAACTGGCTGACTTTCTTTCTATGCTGAGAAGAGGAGCCACAACTAAGTATTTTCCACTTCTCGCTGCCATATGGAGAGGCGTCATCTTGTCCACATTTACTTTTTGGATGTCAAAATCTTCTTTCAGGAGCAGTTCTATAGCATCTGTTTGACCTTTCATTGCTGCCAAATGTAAGGCAGTGTTTTCCATGTTATCACGATGATCTATATATCTGTGATCTGATTTCAGTAACCGTTTTAGAATAGGCACAGATCCGACAAGTGCTGCTATCAGAAAGCTTGTCCGACAATACCTATCTTTAAGCTGTGTATTGGCTCCAGCCTCTATCAGGGCTTCTGCCACCTGTTCATGCTTACAATACAAAGCCTTTGACAATGCTGATTCCTTTTTGTTATTCAGGAGATCAACATTAATCCCATCCTCATCCAAAAGGAGAGACAACAGTTCCAAGTTATCTGAGCTGGCAGCATAGTGGAGGCATGTGTTGCCACTCCTACTGACAGAGTTAACATCCGCATATTCCAGCATAGCCTTGCAACCTTCCGTATGATTCCACTTAGCACAGGTTATCAGTAAGTCTCCAACTTTGTTCTGTTGCTCTTGCAAAATGCGCGCCTTCTTCTCGAGAAGTAGTCTCATGAGTCTTACATTACCATATCTGCTACACATACGAAGGCATCGCATTGTGCAAACACCATCTAAGGGTATTTCCAACAATTTCTGTTCTAAGGTGGGTATGTGGCAAATAGGAATAAGGGATTGTATTTGTTCCCCTGACTGTGCGTCTCTAATTTTGAAGGTCTCTCTATATTGCAGCAATTGTTGTACTGCTCTGAACACGACTGGATGTTTCAGTGAAACATGGGACAAAACAAAATGAAGATGACCTTTCCGCATTTCGTTAGAGAGGCGTTCTGCAAGAACTTTTGCTGACTTATGGTTGACAATTATGGCATAGTCAAACTCTGCAAGTTCACTTGGCTCCAAACGTACATGCTCTAAATATTTGAGGCTGCAGCGGACTATAAAAATAGTTTCATCATGTTCAGCTAAGACTTTCGCAACTATCTCTGAGGTCCACGAGTGTGAAAAAATGAAACCATTTACTGTCGTTTTCAGGATGTAGGCCTCCATCTGAGCAAGTGCCTCTGAGAGTTGTTTACTTCTTATAGCAGATGCTCCTGCAGAAGTGCATAGTGTTGCTAGTTCAACATTCGAGAGCTCAGATGGATTTGGAATGTAGTCCTGATGGATACAGATTTGTAATGTAGACAGAATCCGTTCATTGAGTATCAACTCCTGAATCATCTCACGACAAATACTTTCCCTGTCTGTGGTCATAGTGTTAAATGTTTCATCTTTCCTTTCTTTCATCATACACAACTTGCGTAAGAGGGGCGACGATGTCGTTGAGCAGTCAGTGACAGAATCATTTAATATATCATTTCTCCTGTCAGTTGCTTGTGTTTTTTCTCTTTCTGCATCATAAACTGTTTCAAAGTCAATTCGCTGACGTTCAGAGAAAATTATGTTTTTGAAAGGAGTGATGTGTTTGATTGCTGTTTGAAAGACATTTGTCCTGAACAGAAATATTGAATATAACACTTGATATGTTGAATCAGACGCTTCAAGTTCTTGCGTTATGTCCTCCAAGACAGGAATCCATTTTTGGTACTCCTCAATTTTAAAGTTTGGAATACCAAAAATGTTGTTGAAAAGAATGATGTATTTTTCACTCTTTTGAATCTGAATATACTCCTGGGGCGTTTCCACAACATACACTTTCCATTTCTTTCTGTGCATTTGAGACAAGACTTGGTGGGCCAGAGTAGTTTTCCCATCACCAGGCTGACCAATGATTGTGGTACAAGAATGATCTTTCAGGCATTTTGTCACATGAGGCAACAAAGGTGAAGGCGCTGTCCCTGATATCCAGTCGTTGATGGTATGGCTGGTGCAAGCTGAAATTAGAGAGTCCATTTTGTACAATTATCATATTGATTTTTAGAGGAGATAGTGAAAATGTTAACCATGGTCTGTGTTAAGTGTGCTTAACACTAGTTACAATTACAGCCAATCTTTGAGATCTGTTTCTGAATACAATACCAGAGAATAACAAGTCTCAGTTATCCAGCGAAACATATTCCATTGGGAGTAAAGTGCAAAATAGCGGTACACATTATGCAGACGCAACAGAAGAGTTTCATTTTAGAGAAGTATATTTTTGCAGATATTTGGAATGTGTTATGTATGTCTAAATGTATCAGCAAAATATGATGGTGTTTAATCAGAAGTAGCAAGAGGTATACTTATACAGCGATGTACATACGAATTCCTTGTTTTATTCCTTTAGGATAACAGCAAGTGCCATCCTGCTACGTCTTGATGTATGACACAGCCATGCGATAACATATTTAGGACATTACGCTCCAGTTAGGTACAGTACAACACATATATGGAAATGGATTATGCCCTACCGAGTAGACGGCCAGTTGTGGTCTCATCTTGCAGCTGTATTTCATCAGCTTCTCTTCCATCATCGCTTGATTGTACTGCATCCTTTTCATCACCGTCAGAATCATTCCCTTCCGACCAGTAACCTTCCTCTTTTCTAGAACGGCTCATTTCATCAGCACTTCCATTTGAAGATGTGTCTCCCGAAAAAAGGAGTTCTGAAAGTAATTACATCAACAATAATAATACAAGTGACAAAACACTTTCCATGAGGACCTGGGACCTACCATTCTGGGGGTATTTTTAAATTAAAACTAAGAGTCTAAATATTATTTGATAAAAACGTCTTGTGGCTAACAAATTCAGTTTTTGAAAAGTTATTTTGGTCAGACTGTTTCTGGGACAACTTATTTATTTCAACAAAACTCCATACAGTCTGTCTTATGCAAAGTTTATGGTGTAAAAAACAGAATCATTATGTTTTGATCTAACATAGAACAAGGGAATGGGTTATTTGACCATTATGCATGCAGAGATGTAACTGTATCTATGTCATCAAGTGAAAAGTGCCCCATGGATCAAGGAATGAAGTTTGTGATGTGGGACAGTGGTGTACAAAATAAAGAAAAGTCAATTGTTTTGACATAATTGAACACAGCTCTTTTCTGAGATTCCTTTGAAATTCAAATCCTTTGAATTTTTAAGAATCCACACGGTAATATTTCCATTTGTCTCGAATACTTTCTGTGAGTATATAGAAAGTCCTTCCATGCTTTTATAATTCTTCATGATTAATATTCGAGATGGGGATTTGGTGGCACATATGCTGACCCTGCAATATATCTCTTTGTACGGATTGTTGTGGAGCATACGACAAAACATGAGGCACAAAATATCTTTCTTTTGACATTTTGAGAGGCCTTTTTTGAGTATTGATATATTTGTATTTTTTACAAATTAGTAGTGCAATGTGGCCTACATAAATTTGTTTGACTCACCACTATTCTCGTCACGAAATTCAACTTCAATCTCATGGTCAGGTGCTTCAGCGTGTATGACCTCTTCTGGAGCTGTTAAAACAAAATTGAATATATGAGTTGGATATGCATTTTAAACTCTCTGATTTATTGGGTTTTTTGTTTATTAATTGAATTATGAATGACTATAAGCATATCGAAATGTAGATAAGTTTTAGCATCCAATTTAGTTATGACCTTTACATAAATACCCTCAGAATTGCTGAAAAGCCAAATGACACTTTTCCCACTTCTTTCTCCTTTCGTGTGAAATTTCTTGATGTCATCGATGTGGATATTGGCTGCAACAATGTGTTGTATTTCAGGAAAGTCATCTCCAGAAACATCTTTTAGTTTATCAGAAGCAACTATATGAGACGGAAGACCTTTAGGTTGTTCTCTGAAAGAAACAAAGACATTTTATTTTATTTAGTGCCTGTTTTTTTATGATGAAAACGTCCAATCTTTACAGGTACACTTGGTGCAGTCTGGTAGCCTAGTGGTTAAGCGTGCGCTCGTCACATTGAAGACATCACAATTCATCCAACATAGTACATCCTCACTCACTCACTCACTCACTCACTCACTCACTCACTCACTCACTCACTCGAAGTATACATTAGTATTTGCCAGGTAAGCTATGGGACATGACTTACTGAAGCGTTTTCTGAAGGTCCTCATCTATAACAAGGATGGTTTGTCCCCTTTTCTCAAGCCACCTTGCAACCTCAATCATAAGCTCATACATCTCGGAACATTCTTGTGCACCAGTACATTTGGCAGTGTCAATCATTACTATGTCCTCGTCAATGTTTTCCACCAATATGCAGAACTGTTGTTTGGACAGTAAACGTAGTTCCTGTTTCATGTCGTGTCCTTCTGTGTGATCGGTAACTGCTACTGCAGCAAGGAAGGCACGAATTATATTAATACATTTTCCACTGTTCATGTTGAGTGCATGGAGACTGCATAAAGTGGAGGTTTTGTCTTCAATTAACCTCAAGGCATTTGTGAATAGGTCGTCTGATACTAAATCACTGGCGTCCAGAAGGCCATAGACCGCACTGAAATGTTCATCTGTGTACCTCCGGATTTGATTTATTACTCTCCGGGCAAGACGAAGAACATATTTCCCAAGATCTTCTCTTTTCTCACACACAAAGCAGAGAATCATTGATGGACGGTCAGGAAACACATAGAACACTTCTGATGTCACTCCGTTTGGTGTATCCATCTTTGGCAGATTCAGCATCACTGCTAGTGAACTTGTCACAAAGGATAATCCGCCTTGGAAATGTTTTCCATGAGATTTTATTCTTTTGCGTATGATGTTGTGCATCTTGTTTGCAATCATTGGTGGATATACTGCTAGCTTACCTGAAGGGACAAATCAATATAAACACCTGATGACAGATTAAATGCTTCTTTTGCTCAATCGTAATGATTATTTAATAAGTGATTGGAATGTTAATTTTTAGTAGATTCTTATGTACAAAATACTACTCTGGTATACAGGCTCTGCCTTCTTGACATCACAATAAAAATCACTTCACTTACATTCAGTTACTATATAACAAAATGCACATTCTAATCACTTTGACGAGATCCAATGCTATGAATACGTCACCTGGAGTCAGGACATGACTCTGAATTGCTTCAAATTGTCCGTCTTGTAGTCGGATCCTTGGAAGGAGTGGGGAGTTACTTGGCCATGAAACCACAACTTCTGAACTGCATGCATCTGAAGAGTGAGTGAGTGAGTGAGTGAGTGAGTGAGTGAGTGAGTGAGTGAGTGAGTGAGTGAGTGAGTGAGTGAGTGAGTGAGTGAGTTTAACACCATTGTGTTATAGTTATATCCCATCATTTTGATGTGGAGGAAAACACCCACATGCACGGGTAGGGAATGACAAACCAAGAAACTTAATCATGAAAGAAGTAACAAAGGTAATGTATTGTTTCTCAGGATAACACCATTAATATAAAATTTTCGATGAACACGTTTTCTTATTGATTACTATGCAAATAAATCTTGTTAGATTATTTATGCCTCTTTACTGATGATGTACGAATGTGTACGGCAGGTGGATAAGCGTTTACCTTTGGTATAAATAACACGGGCCATACTGCTTTCTCCTCTGTCACCTGGATGATACAACATCATTTATCAAATAGTGGAATATAAATGACATAATCATTTGGTATTAAACAAGTTTGGAAAGGAATTCGAGGGATCATTCCCAGGGAAACATGCAGTGAAGTGTGGTTCAAATGTTGGAGGAAGTAATATGGTCATGAGAGAGTTATAATCATTGCTTCTGACAAATGCCAATGAACTGTCTGTTTTGTTATATATATCTCGTGAGAGATGAAATCATCAATAAAATACACATAGCAATGTTAACAATAGTAAATACTAGTATACATAGATTGTTGTGTCAAGGGTAAACACATGTCCAATGCAGTGAGTGAGTATGGTTTTACGTCGCTTTTAGCATATTCCAGCAATATCACGGCGGGGGACACCAGAAAAGGGCTTCACACATAGTACCCATGTCGGGAATCGAACCCAGGTCTTCGCCGTGACGAGCGAACGCTTTAACCACTAGGCTACCCGACCGCCCCTACATGTTCAATGCAGTATGACGTCACTAAACCATAGACACAAAAGTTATGTGCTCTCTCTGTCTAAGGGCCTCGAACTACAATTTCAGCTAGTCACACACTAGAACAGTTTCAGTACTTCAACTGCATACAAACCCTTACAGTGACCTTGATCTCAAGCGAAGTTCACTAGGGAAGATATAGACAATGTTTCCCCTGTCTACATGTACAACCTCTTGGGTTATGAATGTTTTTCAGCTGTATCATAATTATCATATATTAGGAATATAAATTACCGCTGCAACATCTGTCTGGTATAATGTTTCCAAGAAGATATAGTATATATGATGGGACACACCCTTGAGTTCAGTTGCCACTTAAGTAGGTCGGGCTGTCAAATATGAAAATGTTTCTCCTGCCACTTTTATCTAATCTGCTTTACTTGACGCCTGGTGTTACTGAGTTGGATTGAGTGGCAGGTTGGAAAGTTTTCACTTTCTCAAGCCACTCAGAAAATGCTACTGTTTTAATGTTATTAGTCCCTTCATCCACGGTGTATACTTCTGGCCAATCATAGAAGACACATCCTGGCGTATACCCTACTGCCACCTCAAGGATGTATAAGGGGCCCTCGCCTTCGCCCTCGCCTTCCCCCTTGCCTTCGCCCTTGCTCGTGCCTTCGCCCTCGCCTTCGCCCTTGCCTTTGCCCTTGCCTTCGCCCCTGCCTTCGCCCTTGCTCTTGCCTTTGCCTTTGCCCTTGCCCTTGCCTTTGCCCTTGCCTTTGCCTTTGCCCTTGCTCTTGCCTTCGTCCTTGCTCGTGCCTTCGCCCTCGCCTTCGCCCTTGCCTTCACCCTTGCTCGTGCCTTCGCCCTCGCCTTCCCCCTTGCCTTCGCCCTTGCTCGTGCCTTCGCCCTCGCCTTCGCCCTGGCCTTCGCCCTTGCTCTCGCCTTCGCCCTTGCTCTCGCCTTCACCCTTGCCCTTGTCTTCGCCCTTGCCTTCACCCTCGCCTTCGCATGTGCCTTCGCCCTTGCTCGTGCCTTCGCCCTCGCCTTCGCCCTTGCCTTTGCCCTTGCCTTCGCCCCTGCCTTCGCCCTCGCCTTCGCCCTTGCCTTTGCTCGTGCCTTCGCCCCTGCCTTCGCCCTCGCCTTCGCCCTTGCCTTTGCTCGTGCCTTCGCCCCTGCCTTCGCCCTTGCTCGTGCCTTCGCCCTTGCCTTCACCCTTGCCTTCGCCCTTGCTCGTGCCTTCGCCCTTGCCTTCACCCTTGCCTTCGCCCTTGCTCGTGCCTTCGCCCTTGCCTTCACCCTTGCCTTCGCCCTTGCTCGTGCCTTCGCCCTTGCCTTCACCCTTGCCTTCGCCCTTGCTCGTGCCTTCGCCCCTGCCTTCGCCCTTGCCTTCACCCTTGCTCGTGCCTTCGCCCTTGCCTTCGCCCTTGCTCGTGCCTTCGCCCTTGCCTTCACCCTTGCCTTCGCCCTTGCTCGTGCCTTCGCCCCTGCCTTCGCCCTTGCCTTCACCCTTGCTCTTGCCTTTGCCTTTGCCCTTGCCTTTGCCCTTGCTCTTGCCTTCGTCCTCGTCCTCGTCTGTGTCCTTGTTCACTTTATGAAACTCTAATGTCACCAGTGAGCTCGCTTCACATGTGAAGGATGGATTTCCACTACGAACTATTATGCGCTCTTCGATTAACTCTCTCAAACCGTTTTTTACAGTTTCATGTAATGTCGGGTCAACTTGAATTCCTGAATAGATATTGGTCTTTGTTAGGTAATTGTAACCGTCAATCTGTATCACACTTTCCCCTATTCCTAGGAAATAGGAACCACCACCTTGAATTTTTGTGAAACACGAAATGTATTCTCTCAGTCTCAGATCCTTCCAAATGTATTCCACCACTTCTCTATGATTGGCAAGTGTTATGATTCCAGCAAATGGAGTCTTGTCAAATGACTTAAATTCAATGTCCCTACTTTCCTGGATGAAAGGAGTAGGGCGTCTTAGTGTAGGAGGTTGTACCTCTTGCTGTTGCTCGCTGAACAACAATTTTTGAATATTGAGGGTTGTTGGGCGAGTTAGGTTTTCATCGGATGTCACCTTAGTCTTGAAATCTGCTGTAGTCAAAGAAGGAGAAGACTTAACAACAAGCAGCAGAAACACTTTGTAATCTCCTCTCTCGGTGTGGTCACTCAACCAAATCTTGCGGTATGTGTCGACAAACAGAAATCCGTCTTCTATCAGTTTTGTTAAAGTGTCATCTACATATTCATTAAAGAATGCTAGACAGCGATCATTGGGTGACAGACCAACCAGATGAACAAACAAGGCCCCTCCTCCAGCGTTTCGCAAAGCCGAAACCTTTCTGGTCAGTTCTTCAATTTTAGCGTCCCTGGCAGCCTTCCTCTCGTACTTATTTTGCTTTTGGGACGGTTGGTTGACCAGTGTGGCTTTGATGTCGATTGTTAGGCGAAATTGCTCTTGTAAAGGAATGTCTTCATCATTAACAACTGTCGCACACAGATCACAGAATTCTGAAACCATGGCATTTCAATTATTCACAAAACAAGAAACGACCAGTGAGATAGCCAATGTACTTAAAGCCCCACCCTAACTATGAATAGCCCGCAAGGTGGCGGCGTTTCAGTTTCGAACAATGACTGACAATGTAAACACAACCGAGTGTCGGGAGGGTAACCTCCCAAAAACCCCTACATCCCATTTCCCCTACAGCTTAAGACACCAATGTTCACGGTCCATGGCACTGCTAATCCCTAGTCTGTTACCTATTTCATACAATGGAACAACCCAAGAAACTCGAATAGATTGAGATAAATATTTAATTACGATTACGATATTATTCAAAATTCACAATACATTATAATAAAATGTTCATTTTTCATAATTCATAATACATTATAACAAAATGTTCATTTTTCATCTCAACTGTAAATCGTCTCATCTCAGTTTCTCAGTGTAACAAGCGTATAGTTGACAAAGTCATCTATATCCCCCGCCCATTTTAACACGTTATGGTCCCAAACCAGGTAAATGACCCAACATTTCTCTTAGGCCATGTCAAAATAGCTGCAATGGAAATTCTATAATAAACATTTCTAAAACTCCTTAATATCAAATGACACTAGTTCAGTATGCGCTTTATATATAGACATGCAATGTTTGGCAAGGAAATATTTAACAGTTTATTTGTTATACTACTTAAGTAAACCAATCCTATATTAAAACTTAAATCCAACTTGTTGTCATGGAAACATAAAAAATAATAATTTCTAAAAGTGCTATATATCAAAAGGCACCAGTTCAGTAGACATGCAAAGTTTTGTAAGAAAGTATTTAACGGTTTTTGAGTTACACTCTGGCAACGAACACCCTCCCTGTAGAACCTAAGTCCAACTTATTGCCATGGAAACGTGAAAAATAAAATTTTCTAAAATTCCTAAATAGCAGGAGGCACCAGTCTAGTATGAGTCTGGTAAACATGCACAGTTTTTGTTGGAAAGTATTGAATGGGTTAAGAGTTATGCTCCGGAAACAAACTCTACCCTATAGAACCTAAGTCCAACTTGTTGCAATGGAAACGTAAAATATAAAAATTTATAAAATTCCTAAATAGCAAAAGGCACCAGTTCAGTATGTACCTAGTAGACATGCAAAGTTTTGTAAGAAAGGATTTAACAGTTTTCGAGTTATGCTCCGGAAACGAACAGCACCCTTATAGAACCTAAGTCCATCTTGTTGCAATGAAAACGTAAAAAATAAAAATTTAAAAAACTCCTAAATAGCAAAAGGCACCAGTTCAGCATGAGTCTGATATACATGCAAAGTTTCGTAGAGAAATATTTAACGGTTTCTGAGTTATGCTCCGGAAACGATTTCGGGACGCACACACGCACACACACACACACGCACGCACGCACGCACGCACGCACACACACACACACACACACGGACGGAACCCATTTCTATATCCCCCGCCATCTTCGTTGGGGCGGGGGATAATAATTGTTTCTTCCTATTGTTATTTTTGTAATTTCTAAAAATTGTCTTCTCATCATACAGGCATCTTTCATTACACTTACATTAATTTTTTTTTTTAAACTCTCCTTTAAGTCCCCTTATCCCCTAAAGCTCTACCCCTTTCATTTCTACTACCTCTACTCCAGACCTTAATCTCTCCTTTAGGTGAGTTTATAATGCCAGACAGGTAAATGCCGCGTGTTGTATTAACTAATTGTAGGGGAACTGGGTTGTAGGGGAAATGGGATGTAGGGGTTTGGGGAGATAACCGTCGGGAGAAGCCTTTTGAAAACCGTACGCAAACAAGATCACCATTGACCGTCAAACTTCATATCAACTTGGATGACAAACCCTGGATACCACAAATGGCTCCATATCTAGATATAGGTCAATAAAATTTATCTAGTTTTATCATAGAAAGTCGAATCGATCGTGTTTGGCGTCAGCATCAATCGAAGTGGGTGGAGCTTATTTACGGTGACACATTCAATGCATTTGTGGTCAAAGTGTATTGTGTTGTATATCTGTACGGCAGAACAGCAGCAGAACAACAGTTTCAGTAACAGTAACAGTAACGATATATAAATACGAAATTAACGACAAGATTATTTCAGTTCAATCCGAAAATTACATATATTTGTTTAGTTTTGGTCATTTGTATTCAACAGTTACCTCACAATAATCAGATTATATCTATAAAAGACCGCCTCCGTGGTCTAGTGGTAGAGCGTCCGCCCGGAGAGCGGAAGGTCCGGGGTTCGATCCCCGGCCGCGTCATACCAAAAGACGTTAAAAGATGGTACTTGTTGTTACCCTGTCTGGCGCTCGGCATTGAAGGGTTCAAGCAAGGACTGGTCGGCTCGGAGTCAGTATACTGTGTCTGAGTGGGGTATTCATGTTCAACTGTGGCATGGTATCTCAGTGAGCTAGCACTATAAATCGGCATCAGTCCGGACTAGTACAAGCAGCCACACACACACACACGTGCATGCACGTCGCTATATAAGTGCAATAATCTTGGACGCGACGTTAAACCCAATTTCACCTCACCTCACCTATAAAACTTAAATTATTAAACAGATTTTTCAACTAGTGTTTAGGAAGGGGCCTAATTTGAAGCACCAGAAGTTGCGTCAATATTGCTTAGCTTTGCTACAATAGATGGATATGTCACGTGTATCAACCTTACAATGCACATCAACAACTTATAAATAAGTAACGCAATATACTTGATGTTTTGACTTACATTAGTACTTCCGATAAACGAAAACTCCAATACACATATTCCAAGACAAATTTAATTATAAATTTCCTTTCCTTTCACAGAATTTTCACACACAAAACTGAGTTTGATCATTAGATCCACACTTGTCCCATGTATTTTTTGTTCGGGGGATTTGGATACACTTCGCGCACAATTTTTAAAAATAAATTCTGGGATCCCTTCCCCTCTTTGTCCACACCAATCCTCCATCTGCTGCAACGTTTAATATCCGTTTCTTCAAGTTCGAGTATCTACGATATCTCCAAAAGAATCGTCTTTTTAGTTCAGTCCAGAAGTATTTGGAAGCAGTGTTTTCGAGTTGACGAATTTCCGCAACATGGTGGCCGCACAATTCCCTAACTGCGATTGCCTGTGCTGTGTCACGCATGGTTGACAAAAGAAGCGTGAACATACATATTCGGATTC